ACCAACCAACCAACCAACCAACCATCCAACCAACCAACCAACCAACCAACCAACCAACCAACCAACCAACCAACCCTGACATGGGCTTGTATTTCTTTAGACTTTCTTCTTGCCAGCACCTGAATGTGACTTGAGACCTGTTTGCGAGATCGAGACTTCCCTGTCCTTAACTTGATGTATCGAGCAATCAGTTCATTCCTGCCTATGTGTTGAGCACCATTACAAAAACACCATCAAATCCATTCAAATAATGCACTCTTTCATTAATGAATAATAATAGCTTAATGTAGGCTCCTAGTTTGATGTTTAGTGAAATAATTTTCAGATGTAACATTCCTAATGTGACCTCCTAATGACGTCATGTTAACAGCAGATAAAACAATTGAGCAATGCAGCACAAACCATCTAAAAAGCCAACTATTCAGCCTTGATTATTCAATAAAATAAGGTTTATATTAATGAAAATTTTTACTGAATGCCATTTTTTTAAAAGCAAATAATGAACCAAATTCTAACCAACCATACATCTTGCCTTCATCGGAGAGGATGATCTTTCTTCGACCGCAGGGTGGGTAGATGGCAAGGGCCTCCTGAAAACTCTGCTCGATGTCAGCACTCCATACCCCTTCCGCATCGTTCCCGATGTCATCTCCCATGTTTTGTGGATCTCCATTTGCACAGCCCCCATCACTGTCAAGGTCACTCGACGCTGATGCACTGCCTGGTCCAGTGTCCATTCTCTTCTTTTTCTTCTTCCTATCTCTTTTTTTGTTGTTTCTTTCAAGTTAGAAGTCCAGTGGTCAGTCAATAAATTCTCGTTGTTAGTTTTTCTTCTCCTTCTTTTAATGAAATAATCCACTTTCTTGCCTAACTTTTTTCTCCTGTATTTAAAAAATTAAATTTAATTAATGAAATATCTGTTAACATGGTTATCATTCATTAAGAAAATTGATCAACTCATTATCATATTTCAATATTTTTAAATGTTAAAGAAAAATTTTCTTTATCTCAAATTTCATTTACATGATCCTGATAAACTTCATTCAGTTATTTATTATTATTATATGAACTCTTAATTCTGAGTGATTGGAACAGTGATTGTTCTGTTCTTACAGTTAATTAATTATTAATATGTTGAAACAGAGAATTAAAAAGTGTTTAACTCTCCACAATCAAACTTAAATTAATTAAATGTTGTAAGTAAAGAGGGTTGTAGTTAATAATAAAACACAAATTACAGTCACTTAAATAATATAATATAAATAAATAGAAGCATTGTTGGTCACGGTCCACATACAACTAAGGAATGAGAACATCATTTTAAAATGTGAGAAAAATTCGTAAAATTTTTGAAAAATTTACTCAACTATGTCAACCATCCTGGCGATGCATTAATTGTGTTGTAGACCAACTACTAATTGATACATTACATACAGAATATATGAATATATGGAATATATACATATACATACATACGTAAACAATGTACATTCCCACTTATTAATCAGTAGCAGAAAAAAAAGTTTAAAAATTCTAGAGAATTGGTGTTACCTTTGTCTGGTCAGATGTAAGCAAATGAGGTTACTACAGCAACTTAAAAAATTAAATTAGTTGAAAAAAATGTTGATTTTGATTGTGGTATTCGAAGAATTGTAAAAGAATTTCTGCAACGTATATAAATGTATTTCTAAAATGTTGTTTGTTAGCTGAGGGTGTAAGTGTAAGTTGTGAAACGTCACCTTCGTCAATTCATCAACAATAAAGTCACCGACGAAACTACGAATTACGTCTCAAAACGACATTTAATTAAAAAATAAATAAAAAATTCGTTCATTAAACAAAATTTTCCTCATCTATAAACAGAGTTTTACTGAAGTTTTTGCAGAAGAAAAAAAATTTATTTAAAATTTTATGACGATAGTAACGTGAGTCACGATATAAGCTTAGTGTATTCATGCGCAGCTTTACTTTTAGTTATTTTTAGCTACTGTTGTAGGCACTTTTTCACATGAATGTATGAATTTCTATAATATAAATGATTGTATAAGTGAATATATCTACAAATATATAAGTATATGCATCACGTATACTGTATTTATACGTATATTAGATTTATATACCCATTAACAATGTTAATTTATTCATCGTTGATGAATAAATATATAACTCACAATATTAAATAGTATATAACTTGTGTGTCGTTCGTTAAGAAATTGAGCTGATATAAAACAATACAAAGCACGAATGAGCGAGTGTAATGTTATGGGTAGAGTTGATTGTAATATGATAATGTGGTTGATAATAACGTGATAGTTTGCAAGCTTCAAGTATCAACGGACAGCAGATTGCACGGCTGTCAAAGCATCCTTATCTTATTTATGCACCGTGTAATGTAGTTTCATTTTGTCTGGGTGGGTGTTACGCTGATAATCAAGCATCATCTGAATGAAACATCATCTGCTGGCAGATATACATTTCAAATCCTTCACTTCAACATCACATGCAAGCAACATCCGTCAAGAACTTCATTTGATCATCACCAATCTTTTAACACAAACAGATATAGGGGCGGATCAAGAGTTAGGTGGGCCCGTTATCAATAGTGTAGTAGCAGTAGTTCAGCCAAAAAAAACTAAGCCAAAAAAAACTAAGCCAAAAAAGGTCGCCAGGTACTTTTCAATCGATCATTTAATCAATCATTCATTCATTTATTCGTTCATTCAATATATCAAACTTCCTTATAGATTAATGAACGCAAATCCCAATAAAAAATGTTCAACTACCTCTGAAGACGGATGAAGTTGTACAGGAACTGTTCAACTCGTTCTTCAAACATGTTTTATTTTCATATTTTTACAATTTCTTATTTAAATAAATAAATGTTTGAAATGCTTATGAAATGATTTCGTACGGCTTCAACTGCGAGCAGTTACGTCTCGCATTCATCACGCATCCATGCATGCGTGATGCATCCATGCATGTGTGATGCATCCATGAATGCGTTGATGTATGCGTCAGTTTGTTTGCACATCTGATGAAAATTCTTCTTGCGAGTTTAACATTTCTACGTTTTCTCAATTTCAAGAGGAAAAAATAGCTCTGCAAATAATAATTATAATCAATTTTTGGATGTTTCATTCGTTTAAAAACTGCGTTTCACATTTTTTTAAATAAAGTTCATACAATGGAAAGAATCTGACTGCATTTTGTTAGGAATGGTTCTGTGCAAACGCTGAAAATTTGGTCGTTGAATAGCAAGCGGAGAATCTAGAGCAATCTTCTGCTTAAAAAGTCGTTCAGACATGTGACGACAAACAAATGAATGAATAGGTGAAAATGTTTATTTATTATAAACAATTTGAAGCCATAAAATAGATTGATGGAGATCTTTCGCCCACTGGCACTCGGCACGTACCTACCCGTCAATTGGTCAACGACATTTTCAGTTCTCATCCCCTACCTAATACCCTTATTTATATGTTGCGTATATTGAAGTTCATGTCATCCATCCATCTGATCATTAATTCATCCATTTATCCATCCATTTATCCATCCATCCGTCCATCTATCAATTACTTGCTGAAATGAAATTGAGCTGATGAGGCGCTCAATGAAATCATTCGCCGTCGTTAATTATAATCTTTTTGAGATCTTACCAAAATTTAAATTCCAAGTTTGTTTGAGATTGCATTCAGGCAAATTAACAAATGTGCCTGAAAACACCATCATCATCATCATCATCACCATCATCGTCATCATCATCGTCGTCACTATCACCATTATCATCACCATCATCATCGTCGTCGTCATCATCATCACCATCATCATCACCATCATCATCACCATCACCATCATCGTCGTCATCATCATCAACACAACAAGACCAACAACAAACATGCAACTACAGCCAGAATAAGCAAGCAATCAACTAAGCATTGGGCTAACACATCTGAATGTTTAGCAGAGAAAAGGTTTGGTCAGCTGGTCAGTCGGTTGGATGGTAGAAAGACTCGCATGAAAGCGTGCATGCGTTGTAATAGAAGCCTGTCCTTCTGACTGGATTGAAGAGGATTTATTAATAAATTTTGTTTGCTCACAAGTTCAAAAGAGCCTCGTCATTTATTAATTTCGCAAAAATCTAACACGCACGCACACACACGCACACATTATGTTTATTTTAAAGTAATATATTTATTTTATTTATACAATGCGCGAAAAACACTTATAAAGGAATTCATACCGCCTGCTTGTGGCGTGATGCTGACCATCATGAAATTTTTCCCAATTTAAGCAATGAATAAATGGATAGATTGATTGATGAATGAATATATGAAATAATGAATGAATGACGAATAAATGAGTGAATGAATAAGTGAATGAATGAATGAGTGAATTAATAAATGAATGAATGAATGAATGAATGAATGAATGAATGAATGAATGAATGAATGAATGAATGAATGAATGAATGAATGAATGAATGAATGAATGAGTGATTACTAGATGACGAGGGTCGTTCTGTATTGTTTTTATTGTTCGTAGTGTAGTTGAGATGTTTCATTTCATCAATTTTATATCAGCATTTTCCATGCTGTTTAAATATTAAATGAATGTTCTTTGTAGTTTTGTTTCTTTGTAGTCTTGGTAGTCGCATGACATCATCCACTTTCCTCTCTGACGATCTTCACAACGAAATTTCTGCCGAAGTTCGTTTCAAATGATTGATGAAAGATATCATTTGTGGTGGTGTTGATGATGCTGTTTTTGTTGTTGATGACGACGACGACGTTGTTGATGATGTTGTTGAATTTGTTTGTCCAAATCGAAATGTGTAGTTAGTAGTTGTACGTTGGTTGCTGAAGTTGAGGCTGGAATGTTGGAATGTTACAGTAGTTGATGAATTGTGCCACAAATTGATGGGAAAGCCTTTGAAAAGTTTGAAGGATTATGAGGAGGTTGAGGAGATGCTAGAAGTGTTGAAATTTTGAAAGGAAAATAAATTTCTTTGTTCTACGCGCGTTAAACCTGCCAGCTTTGCATAATTCTGTATAATTGCTGAACTGGAGAGAGACGCCTGGCGGTTAATTAGGTTGAGTTGCTAAAGATTGGTTGTTGTGAGGAAATTGTTTTTGTTGATGATGGTGATGTTGTTGATGATGGTGATGTTGTTGTTGTTGATGATGGTGATGTTGTTGTTTGTGATGATGGTGATGTTGTTGTTTGCGATGAAACAACTACTACTACAACTAACAACTACTACTACAACAAAAGCAACAACAACAAAAGGTAACAAACGAACAAGAAGGAGACAAAGTTTGTCACGATAACGTATCAGTTCTGCTGTTAAAGAATATAATTAAGTCTTTCTACACTTTCGAAACATTTTTACATGCGCGTGTTTGTCTTTGCGTTTGCATGTCTCTCTCTCTCTCTCTCTCTCTCTCTCTCTCTCTCTCTCTCTCTAACTAGAGAATGGTATTGAATGTTGAAGGTTATAAAATATTGAAATGAGTTTGTCTTCAGATGGGGATGGTCTTTGCTGCGGATGTTTGCATGTGCATCAAAATGTTTCAATGAAATGTATGGAAAGATAATGATGGCGATGATGGCGGCAAAGATGGTGGTGATGAATTCAACATTCAATATCATTCTCTAGTTAGAGAGAGAGAGTAGAATAGAGAGAGTGAGTGAGTGAGTGAGTGAATGAGTGAGTGAGGATTTGTTGTGAAGTGAAATA